ATTTTAAGGTTATAATTATTATAATTCATACATACATACATACATGCATACATACATGCATATATAATATATATATATATATAATATATATATATATATATATATAATATATATATATACAAAATAACGTTATCCACAAGATTTAAAATTAACGAGCGAGTCTGATCTCTCAGTCGGTATGCGTCATGTGATTTATTAGTTACTTGATATAATTTATGAGTGAATCGCGACGATTTATTGTATCTTAGTACACTATTTATCATAGCACTTTAGTTAGCACTCACTCACTTAGTTGCGATTCGTTCGCGATTTAAAAGAGACCTAACCGTATGCATATGTATATATATATATATATGTATATGCGTAGGTACCTATGTGGTAAGTGTACCTACTACTTGCTTTAACTTGTTCGTTCGCTCGTGAGCATCGTGTGCCTTTTTTTTAAAGCGACGTAATAGACGGAACTGGAGAAAGAAATTCCTTCGTTGTTTTCTCTCTCTCTTTCTCTCTTTCTTTCTCTTTCTCAATCTCTCTCGTCTCTGTTATAGTCGTGATTAAGGCTCTTTATTGACTGGTAGATAGATACCGGCGAGGACCCAACTCTCGTAACGATAAGCCACTCTCTATATGTTTCATTGATACTTAAGGTTAACGTAATACATACATATATATATATATATATATATATATATATGTGTGTGTGTATATATATATTTTTTTTTTAATTCATGACTGACCGACATTGATATTGCTTTTGCTGCATAACACTCAGATAAAATAGTCACCTTCGTCGACGATAAGACGAGAAATCGATCGATCAACTAATCGATCGATCGATCGATCAATACGCCAAAAGCGCGATTTGTTACTTCTATTCGAAATATTTCGTCGATATCGATAACTCGCGGTTATTTATAAAAGAAAAAGTATATATATATATATATATGTATGTATTCACCGATTATTAATTTTGGACCTATAAATTGTTTAATAATTTTTTTTTTTTAAAGATAATTGATTAGAATATCTAATTAATGAAAATAATACAGGAATATCTCATAAAAACAAATTTTAAATCATTGTACTTCCGGTAGAAACCGGAAGTCGGCTGTTTTATTTCGTACTCTCCTGAAATATTTGACACATCATATCATGTAAAGTTTCCTTAACATATATATATATACTTTTTTCTTTTTTTTCTCTATTGCTCCTAACAGAAAAGATCCCTTTATTTCTCCCTTAATTTATAATCGAGAGGTCAGTATAATATAAAATTTCTATGATAAATAAAAAGTAAAAGTTTTATTTTAGAAATGTAACAATATGAAAGAGGTTAGTTCGTTTAGGGAATTTTGGCATAACGATGATTCCAATTAGAATATCATTAATTACTAATCCTTATTGATTTTTTATTGGAAAAAAATGATCTTGTAATAATCACAATCTCTGTTCATATCAGTTTTCGATGACAACTTCATCTAAAGAACAAAAAAAAAAAAATTCTAGGAACGCCAAGCCTAAATTCTATATCTTTACATTTCAATAAACGTCGCGTCATTTTTCTTTTTCTTTCTTTAATCGTAAAGAAGTCCAGAAAGAGGATGAATCAACTTATTGTTTCTACGAATAAAATAATCGTCCTCGTTGATTTGGTACTTACTTTAAGGATTCGTTGTTATTAGTTCTTCTTTTTTATTTCTTTTTTTTTTATTTATTTTTTTTTTTTTGAAAATTGTTCATGTATTTCCTCCAAAAAAAAATGTTGGCAGTGACGAATGATAAAAACCTTTTGGACTATCGTTAAACTCGGTCCGTGATAATTAGGGATGTGCCTCTGTTGGTGATTAACCCAACCCCGAATTGAGAAATACACGCCTACCACTAAAGGGGCGAGGTAACCTAATTCGCCGAGATATGAGTGGTAATTTTTACGGATGGCACGAGTTATTGTTTCTACATAACGATAAGTGTACATATATATACATATATATATATGTATATATATATATATATATATATACTTTAGAATTATCTAATTCTTCAAGAGCATTAAGCGATACCGCAAGGATTATTATATATATATATATATATGTGTGTATGTACATATGTATGTATGGTGCGTGTGTATAAGCGTATTTTGCGCATTTAACTTGTGGCTCGTATTATAAGAAAGAAAATGACGTTAGAAGAGAAACAATGGTATCTGTTACAGAGAGACGAGGACGAGGATCCAAGCCAAAGTCGACGGAAGAAAGCGGGAAACTAAACCGCGGGAACTAAATGACGTACTAAAATACAATCGCGTAAATCTGAATTTCTCGTTCTGAATTCAGAGACCGCGGAAAAATAATTATAAGTTGATCTTAAATATGGATAACGCAGAACATAAGTTCTAACGTCTGCGTGTTTAAAACGTGCGAATTATGAACGCATTATATCGCACAATACGAAATTTATTTTTCATCATCAGATACATATATATATATATATATATATATATATATATATATAATAAATATATATATATATATATAATGTATATAACTTATATACAATGTGTATTTAAAGAAGAATTTTAATTAGCGAACAGAGAGAAAGATAGAGAGTAAGAAAAAGAGAGGGGAAGAGAGAGTGAGAGAGAGAGAGAGAGAGAGAGGGGTGGGGAACAAAGAAGAATAATATATTCGAAGGCGAGGGATAATGGATGAAGAAAAAGAAAAAGAAAGGAAGAGAAAGAAAGGAAGAAAAAAAAAAGAAGGCGGGAAAAAAGGTAAATAAGACATAGTAAGTCAAAAAATAAAGAATCGGAGAGGGAATAGGAGGGGGTTGGGGAAGGTGGTGGAAAGAAAGGAGAACGCCGGTGGGTTAGAGCCGTACGTATACGGTCTTGACGCGTACCTACCGGGTGTCCCGAATGTCGTGCGAGAACGCTCACGCACACGCGCGCTCAGCGCAGGGTTAAACCACCGCTCTCGGACGAGCCTTCCATCGTTTCACTCGACCTACCCCCCACTACTACTACTACTACTACTACTACACTACTACTACTCTACTACTACTATTACAACCTCCACTACCACCTCCATCACCACTACCACCACTACCAACCATTCGTCGTTCGTTCGCTCGAGCGCCGCCACCGCTCTTTAGACGGTGCCTATATTCTCTTCTTATCTCTCCTCGATGCGTTAAGTCCGTCTGCCTCTGGGTACCCTCCTCTCTTTTCCCTCTCTCACTCTCTCCCTCTCTTTCTCTCTCTCTCTCTTTTTCGAACATACTCTCGCGCGCGCACAAGCGTGCGTGTCGCCGGTTAACTCCGCGCGTGTAAGTGGTGAGCCACTTCCTGATGGCGCAATGGCTCGCTTCCTCTCCACCTCTCTCCTCTCCTCTCTACTCTCCTCTACTCTTTACCTCTTTCCGTCTCTCCGCGCTTCCAGTCTCAGCGAGCTCCGTGAGTCGGACTATCCCCACCACTCTCACTCTCTCTCTCTCTCGTCCGAGCTATCCCCACTACTCAATGCTTCTCCTCTCTTTACCCCCACCATATTTAGTTTACCACCACCATGCGCCACGACGCTACGAAATCCCAGTGACGTACACGAGCGTGGCCCGAATTCGCGAAGGGCCGTCGCGAAGTGCAAGGACGATTGGCTCTTTACTGTCTCTCTTTCTCTCTCTCTCTCTTTCTCTCTCGCTGTCTCGCTATCTCTCTCTTTTTCTTTGTTTCTCTCTTTCTCTCGAACAGACCAATCGACCGTGCTACTGTTCTTTCTCTCCTTTCTTTCTCTATCTATCTATCTATCTATCTATCTATTTATCTCTCTGTCTATCTATCTATCTATCTTTCTATCTCTCTATCTCTCTTTATCTCTAATCCTTTTTCAAATTAGATATATCTCTTTCTTTAACTTTCTCCTCTTCTTTTAACCTCTTCTCGTCGGTTTGTATAATAAAGTTGCATGGGATGTATGTTAGAAAATGGTTTAGGTTAAAAAAAAAAAAGAGAGAAAAACAAAAAAAGAAAAGATATGCGGAAAGTCTTTACGTGGGTGGACCACGGGAAGGATGACGACGACGACGACGAAGACGACGAAGACGACGAAGACGATGACGATGATAGTAAGGAAGTATGTATTTCACTCTTTAGAATGGCAGGAAACGGATGGATCCGACTCGCGACGATGGCGATGTACCAAATGTTACGTGTCTCTCTCTCTCTCTCTTTCCTTCCTTTTTCTGTCGCCATGCATCGATGCACGACTCGTTAAATGTCTAATAAATAATACTAATAATGATAATAATAATAATAATAATGACAATAATAATAATAATATTAAATACATAACCTTCTTCTCTTATGCATATTTCCGCATGCAATAAAAAACTACACATACTCGCGTTAGCATGTTAAATGCGAACAAGGGAATTATCGTAAATCATTGGGAAATTCGTTCGATTAATTTACACTCTTGATTATCTTCAACGCAGGTCATCGAGCCTTCGCGTAAACACTAGCTCGTACTACGATCAAACGATACGATCTCTCACGATGAAATTACGTAAGTCGTGTCGATTTATCGCGGCGATATCTCGAAGCATAATGCGATTCATTTATCGTGAGAGCGATAAGTATCAGGTCAGGTGAGTTTACGTCTATTATCAAGACCATCCCATTCTGTTTCTTTTTTTTTTTTTTTCCTTTCTTCCTTCTTTTTGAACGTATACAGTATTACTTGCTTTGCAATTAGACTTTTCTTTCTTTCGTTTGCTCTTTTTCTTTTTCTTTTTCTTTTGCGGGAAGGACAAATAACGAAGGCGACGCGCATCGTCGTCATTGGCGGTAGTGATGGTGGTGGTAAATTGCACGATTAACCGTGTAATTAAGTCGGCTTCTCTTGACGAACGAAAATACGGAAATTACAAGGTTCCGTCTTACGTACATACGTAAATACATATATACATACATACACACATATATATAATATACACATATATACGTAGATGCCATGCATATGCACAGCTGACTGCTTTCTTTTCAATTTTTTCTTGTTTCTTTCCTCTTTTCTTTTTTTTCTTTTTTATTTTTTCCTTTTCTCTTTCCTTTCTTTCTTTTTCTGTTTCTTTTTTTTTCTCTTTTCTTTTTCTTTTTTAGTCCATTCCAAAAGGAGCCGTCTGTTAAAATCTCCGAGCGTCGTTGCAACGCGCTTACGCACGTTCTATCATTATGGCCGGTAATGGCCGGTAATCGCGCACACCACCAACAGAATCATTTTACGGTGCTATTTTGCGCGCAAGGGAAACGAGGGCCCGGTACGCCGTGTGTGAGGATTTAAAACAGTCCGTAGATAGGTGGAGGGGAGAATAGTGGTCAAAAATATTTGACGTCATTGACGATACGTTATCCGAAAGTATTGACGTCCTATGCTAGTAGTATTTTTATATATATATATATATGGATATATATATGTTTATATATATATATATATATATATGTACACGAACGAACACCCTTCCCGTCCGACAAATTCCCTCTTCGTTATCGCCGGAAATGAAATTCTTGAGTAAATCCTTCGAATCTTATCCTCGAACCTATCGCTTCCTTTCGCACGATAAAGAATAATGCGTTCTTTATGCATTCGCTCGAATTTCAAGTTTCGAATTTAAAGGAAGAAAAAAAGAAGAGAAAAAATGTATATATATATATATATATATATATGTGTATAGAAAAAAATCGATCGTCCTAGAAAATAACAAAGAAAAGGTGTGTAGGTGGAAGGATCTCGTAAAAATCCGCAAACTTTCGCAAATCCTAAGAAGAAGAAGTAGAAGAAGTAGAAGAAGTAGAAGAAGTAGAAAAATTTCGTTCTCTAATCGATTGGAAAGAGTCACGTATTACATCATAATTGTTTGTATACACGTTCCTCGTGCCGTCTGTTCCTTTTGCGTGCCTGTTCATTGATAATGTAAAACATTACAGGAATGGGTGTCTCTTATCGGTCTACAACGAAACTCTTTTATACGTTAAGGCACGCGACTTATCGGACGTTATCTGACGCATTATGAAAGGATCGAAGATAAGTGGCTCTTATACATATATACATACATATACATACATATATAAATACCTATGTACATAAATATATTACACATGTATCTATTTATGTATGTATAAATATATATATATATATATATATATATATATATATATATATAAATACGGATGAGGCTCAATAAAGCGCAAATTTATACTTCTAATAATGTATCGTGCAAATTAGTCCTTGAAAAATGTTTTAACACTTGTATACGCGAACGTTCGTTTGTAATATATACATACATACATACATATGTATGTTGTATATGTATATATATATGTATATGTATTTGTGTGTCAAGAATGTGATCTTTTTCTAAAAGAAAAAAAAAAAAGGGAAAGGAAGTAAATAAAAAAAATATAAAAGAATAATTAAAAAGAAAAAAAAAGAAGAAGAAGAAAGAAAGAAAAAAGGAAAAGAAAAGAGAGAAAAAAAAAGGAGGGAACAAAATTGAAATATCGCGCTGTCAATGAACGATGCAATTTCATTCTCGATCGAGAAAGTCTCGTAATGGTGATTTAAATAAACACGATGAATATCGTGTCGTGGAATGAAACGAAGGAAGAAAGTCGATGACGAGATACGCTTTGCAAGATCGAGAGAGTGCGAGAGAGAGAGAGAGAGAGAGAGAGCTAAGCACGAAAAAAGATCGCGATCTTTGCCGTGTAAGTATGTAAATAGATATGCATGTTGGTTCGTAACTACGTATGCATATATATATATATGTACATATGTAAGGTATAAATGTATCGGCGTACGCGATGTATACGGTCTATACGTGTACAATGACGTAGTGAGAATTATCGCGTATGAATGTGGAGCATTATCGGCGGTAAACCAATCGAAGAGAAATCGTGTGCGTTTATGTGTTACTACGCGACTCTCGCGACCGGCTCGATCAACCGAACGAACGCGTGAATGGAACTGGTGTGTTGTTGTTGTGTAGTGGTAGTGGTAGTGGTAGTAGTGGTAGAGTAGTAGTAGTAGTAGCAGTAGTATGGTGGTGGTAGTGGTAATGGTGGTGGTGGAGTGCTGAAGCTAGAAGGAAAAAATATGAATGAAGTCGTGGTAGTGACAGTCGCGTACGTACGGGCTTTACGTTCTTAACGCGCATGCGTCCTGACGTAACGCACGTAGCACGTGCATCGTTCCGTGCCATTCAGCGTGAACGCGTAATGCTATGCACGACACGACTACTTACAACGACGGACGGCTACACAACGACAATGACGATGACGACGACGACGACGACGATAACGATAACGACGACGACGACGACAACGACGACAACGACGATGATCGTCGAAGGTGAGATCGATGCAAAACTACCGACACGAATACTTACGACGATCAACTTTGATGATATCTATGTATGTATATACCTATACATGTATCTATGTATATATGATATACTTACTTTACGTACATGCATGTGCATATATATATATATATATATATAACGTACCACGTGCTCTTAGAAATTTCTCCTTGACCGATTCACTGGCTCGACGTAGACGAGAGCTCGATTGGAACGAGTTCGTCGTTTTTATTTGTTAAATACAACGACAAAATCGATTGAACGTTTAATTGTTTGAAAATCTTATCCAAGAGAAAATTCAATCTTTCATAATATTTATGCTTTATTTTATTTTATTCTTTTTCTTTTTCCTTTTTTTAATTTTTAATTTTTTCTTCCTCCGTTTTCCTTTTCTCTCTCTCTCTCTCTCTCTCTCTCTCTCTCTCTCTCTTTTACAACATATTGCATCTCTTAGTTTACTCTCGATAATTTTCCATAAATGAAATACAATATAAGACTATCTTTTTCTATCTCATTGCGGGAGAAATGAGAAAGTAAATTTCTGCGTCACACTTTCTTAATCGCGCACGTCTGTCGATCCTTTCTGTTCGACGGATAAAGGAAAAAAAAAAAAAAAAAGAAAAGAAAAGAAAAAAGAAAGAGAAAAAAAAAAGAAAAAAAAATTTTTTTTTAAATAAAAGAAAAAGAGAAAAAATCCAAGCGAGTTATACGATGCAATTCTAATGATTAAAACGTATCTTAACGAAAAGGAAACGACGATGAATAATCATACCATGACGACACATGGTGGTAATCCTTGGGCGCAAAAGATAACTCTCGGCGAGTGCGATTATCGTGATATAAAGGGAAATGCGTGTAAGTATGTTTTACGAACTAGTTAAATAAATAAATGAATAAATAAATATATAAATAAATAAATAGATGAGTGAGTACATAAGTAAACATACATAGTTGTTATCCAATTATTTTCTAAGATTCATTGAAAATACGTCATTGACGTTAACGAGTAAAATACATGGAATGGAATCGAACGTTCATGTTCGCATATTACGCGTATGTTCCGATGATAGATGAAGAGCGAACGTTCCTCTCTTACGTATTCTACTTGCTATCGTAACACGTCTACATCCGTAAAGGATGACCGACGGTTTCTGGTAAATGTCCGCAGTGAAGATGCATATCGAGTAAATCGAGACAGAGAGAGAAAGAGAGATAGAGAGAGAGAGAGAGAGAGAGAGAGAGAGAAAGAGAGACCGGTTGAACCACCATTGAAAAAAAAAAGAAGAAATGAAGAAGAGAAAAAAAAAGAAAGAAAAAAGAAAAAAAAAACAATCTTTCCTCTTACTCCGTCGTTCTCTTTCATGTTCATCCAGCGTGGTCCTTGCGTCTTAATGAACGTGAATGATACAAGACCACAAATCATTTGTCACAGCTTTTCTCTACGTCGGACAGAGTTTATCTCTGATGTCGACGAAGACGTAAAACTCTATTTCCTATCTCTATCTCTTTTTCTTTCTACCTCTATTCCCCCTCTCTCTCTCTCTCTCTCTCTCTCTTTCTCTCTTTCTTTCTGTTCTATTAGACCAAGTCATCAAACTTGTGTTAAATTTCTTAGATAGACACAACACCACACCCAAGACCAAGATCAACGTAGACGACAACGACGATTGCGAATTATGTCGACGTAAAAGTTTAACGTTGCATTGGTAATACGTAGACGAGGTAAGATGCCAGAGAAAAATAATCCCGCTGTTATATTCTATTCTTTTTAATAATAGAAATCAAACGGAAGTAGGATACTGATATACGGGTCAAATTGTCCGTAAGGAGTCAGAAATTTGATTCTCTAATATTTCAAGATGTGAACGAAGAGTATATGAAGGATATACGAAAAATATCACGTATTTCATTTTTTCTTTTTTGTTCTTTTTCTTTGTTTTTTTCTTTTTTTTTCTATGTTTATGATTTTTATTCACACAATATGCATATATTTGCATGTATATATATATATATATATATATATATGTATGTATGTATGTATGTATGTGTATATTACTCTCGGTCTCGTTACGCGAAATAATAAATCCGTGCGAGCGAGAAAGTATAGTGTCGACGACATACTGATCTTTACCATCATTCATATATAAGTATATTTTACCTTATATGGGATCTAGAAAATAAGAATAAACGAGTATTATAGAATAATTATTTTTCTCGTAGTTATCTATGTATCTATATGTGTATGTGTGTGTGTGTGTGTGTGTATGCGAAACAGGAAACTCACTAGTAGTGCCTTTCTTCTATTATATAGACTACATTGTAATGATGTTAACGCTTACTAACTTTATGATGCTATTTATCTATTTTAATTTTAAATCGCGTGTCTATTATTATAGATACTTTCGTGGAACGTCTAAATTATCATTTTAGAAACTATAAAATTCTTTTAAATGTTACTTTATAAGAATAAGAAGAAAAAAAAAATATATATATATATATACGTATAACTAATAAAATATAAAATCATTGATGAACATTTCATTAATGAAAAAAAGAAGACGAGTCTTTTACGAATAAATAAGTAAATAAATAAATAAATAAATAAATATAAGTAATAAAATGAAACATTGAAAATATATCAACGTGTATCTCTTATTAATGAATAGAAATAAATATGTATACGTAATGGAAATTTCATTGGCCAACAAAAAAAAAAAAAAGAAAGAAAAAAAAAAGAAAAAGAAAAAGAAAGAAAAAGAAAAGAGAAAAGAATGGATTCTCATAGAAATAAAAATCAAATCAAATAATATAATTGTAAAGAATCTAAAGGAGATATTAAAAATTTGAATATACATTTGAATACTGAAATTAAAATAATTATAAAGAAAAGATAGAGAAACTCGAATGGAGAGTAACTAACGTCTAAAAGACGTTATCATAGAAAAAAAAGAGACAAAAAAAAAAAAAAAAAAGAAAAAAAAAAAGAAAGAAAGAAACCGAAAAAAGAAAAAACAAAAAGAAAGAAAGAAAGAAAAAGGAAGTTTTCAAAAGACAAATTTAACCGTGGAACCCTTTACGAGGATTTTCCTCGTATCCTAGATTGAAAAACATCGGCGAAGGGTTCCGGATGTGGCCTGATCTCTATTCCCGGTTTTGTTCGATGGTTAAATTCTAAATATAAAATCGTCGGTGTCGGTGCTGCTTCGAACGCTTCTGCTGTGCGCACGCACACACACACAGACACCTATACACACACAAGCAAGCAAACAAGCAAGCAAAAGCAAGCGAGCTTACAGCCGGCGCGAGCTCACGAACGATGCCTCCGCGGTTGGCTCCACCGGAAGTAGTTCCGTCGATTCGAGCCAATTTTTCCGCTTACCTGTCCGTATATATATATATGTATATATATATATATATATATATATATTCTATGACTAACTCCGCGGCTGAGAAACGCGGATCCGACGACGTCTCGACCGCTCCGTCTGTTTTACACGCACGGAGAGCTCATTTGAACGCGTTCGCGCGCGAGCGCACATACGAGAGCGTAGGTGTCAACCTTCGCGCTCACCATTCGACATTATATATACACACACATACATACATATATATATATATATATACAGATAGATATATACGTATGTAACATCTACATACGTATATGCGATCGTCTATGAGCGTAAATGCACGCGAATATATGATCTTTCGAGAGTACTTTTAACTTAGAATATGAAAATTGTAGTTGTTTTTTTTTTATTCGTATCGTTGAACTTTTATAGTTTTGTAATGTTTCCTTTTTTCTCTCTTTCTCTCTCTCTCTCTCTCTCTCTCTCTCTCTGTGTGTGTGTGTGTTACTATATCATTACTATCTTTATTACTGTCATAATTGATTTTTAATCGATTAATCATCTTCTATATCAATCTGTAATTATAAATTATGTTTTTGCACATTACTTCGTGTTAATTAATTGATATTGATTAATTGTTTGATTGATCGGTGCATATTAGAATATTTTATTAAATATGTTTGAAAAATTTATTTTCAAGATGTATATATATATATGTATATATATATATATATATACATATAAATTGCGACGTATCTCTGAGTGATATTGAAATCTCGAACGAGTTAATATCATTTAGCTCGTTGAAAAGAAGATAAAAATAATAATTTATATCAACAATGTGAAATCTATTATTATGTGTTTGAACGTTCATCAAGAAAATATTACAATCATTTCGGATATGAATTTGACAATTGATATTGTAAGAAAAGAAGAGAAGACAAATAAAAAGAAAAAAAAGAAAAAAAGAAAAAAAGAAAAAAGAATGAAAAAGATAAAAGGGATAAAGAGACGAAGGAAAACTCTTAGGATAAATTAATGTTCCAATTTTGATTAGGATTTAACGAATGCATTATTATTTTATCCGAATTGAGGAGTCGTTTATTAACGTCATTTAAAAAAGGATCGCGTAGCAAGTCTAAAATATAGAGAGATCGCCGACTAATCGTGAGGAGGAGCCACGCCTATAAAAGGGGGAAATTAATATGTCGCCTTCTCGGGATTATTGCGTCGCGTCGTTCCTCGAACGATCTCCGCGTTCGCGATGGATTCGTGAGTCCTTCCGTTCTGCTAATAAGGTTCAAACGATGCCGCACTGTTAACTACGGCATCGTTGTTGCTGTTGCATGCGTTTTACGCGTGGGTCGTGATCGAATGTCGTGAATTATTCGTATGAGTGAACACCAAGTAACAATATATATATATATATATATATATATATATATATATAATATTAATTTATTTATTACTTTAAATCGAACGTTTTATATAACATTAGATTGGCCAAAATAGATAAAATTGAAATTTTCAATACATAGTAACAAATATTAACATTGTTTATTTGAATATATGAAATATTAAAAAGTCTTTCAATAAATATAATACTCAATCTTTATAGTTTTCATTCATATATTCTTTTTTTTCTTTTTCAATAAAACAATAGTAAGGTATACAATTTTTTTTTTTTTTTGATATAGTCGTATATTGCCATTTCATTTAAATACGATATATTAAAAAAATTCTTAATAAAAATATATTACATGTACAATGTTATTTATTTCAATATTAAATTACTTACAAATTACTACTTTATTAATCGAATATCTGTAAATAAATATTACATAAATTTTATATAATAATAATCATATAGATAGATAACCTGATCAAAGATAAATTGAACAATTTTATAATTCTAATTAATTATCATTTACAGATATACTTATTTTATATACAATTTGCATACCGATATTGTATAAATTATATATATATATATATATATATATATATATATATATATATGTATATATATGCATATATAAAATATATCACATGAATATAAAGATCATACTTACAATTTATTTTATAGTCGAAAATTAATCGATTAAAAATATTTTTCATCCTTTCTTTTTCTTTTTTTCTTTTTCCATTTTTGTTTTTTCTTTTTTTTTTTTCCTCATCTTACATAATTTGTCAAGACGTTCGTACACGATTAAGATCGCAGTAAATATAATTCTTACGTCATCTTTATCGATCGATTTATGGTCCCGTCAATTGCATACAGATAATTATTGTGAATTCGCTTATAAAAAAAAAAAATTATTATCTTCGCAAATCCAAGCGAAATATCGAAATTCAATATGGAGTACGTAATATTTGAAATTCTTTTTTTCACAGTGATATAACAAAGGATAAACTGTGCCTGTGTGATACACTAATGTTCGAAATATTCTGACAATAATAGGACAACTCGAATGATTATAGAATATCTAGAATCTAAGAGTGACCGTATCGTTGAAGTATGAGAAAGGTAATGAATTCTTGCGATATGAGCAAGGCTCTTATGGCAGAGAGAACAATGACGGTGCGGGATGTCGCAAAGATTCGCGTTCATCGTTTCTACGTTCGTAAAGTGAATAAAATCCAATGCGATGCTTACAAATCTCTTTCTCTCTTTCTGTACGACGTAACAGTTAATCATAAAAAAAAAAAAGAAGAAAAAAAAATTAATCACTACATATACACCTTACGATGATATAAACGTTGCTCCAATTATTATACTCCGAATCCGCATTGAAATTTATTTTGTCAATTTATTTTCATAATCCTTACGAATTAAGATTCTTCTTTTTCTCTCTCTCTCTCTCTTTCTCTGCAAAAAGAAACAAAAAATTAATAATAATAATAATAATAATAATAATAATAATAATAATAATAATAATAATAATAATAATAATAATAATAATAATAATAATAATAATAATAATAATAATAATAATAATAATAATAATAATAATAATAATAATAATAATAATAATAATAATAATAATAATAATAATTTTACAGAGAGATACGATAGAAAACATTCAATTAATAAATTTATCATAAATAGGTGAGGAATTTGTTCTTAATTCATATAATCACAAATTATTTGATATACATACGTAGATATTTAATAATTATAAATATATACTTGATCATGTCTTAAAGGATAATAAATAATTTTCTTAGTGGTTTCTCTTACGAGACATCGACCGGTAGAGTTATCTCTTCGTCTACGAAGTAAAGGAAAATCGATGGGGGATAGTAGACGGCATGGGAAGTCGAGGTAGACTTCCTAAGCGGGGAATCATCGAGGGAGGAAGCCCATCCGTCCGGAGGGGCTTTCACAAAACCCTATTCACTGGATAAATGAATGAAGATGAAAAAGAAAAAAAGAGAGAGAGAGACAGACAGAGACAGAGACAGATATATATATATATATATATATGTATATGTATATATGGACAGATAGATAAAGATAGATAGATAGATAGATAGATAGAGAGAGAAAGAGAGAAAGAAAAAAAAACCGAGCAAAACACACGACCCATAATTTAATTATAATTAACTTCCGTCGATATATTACATTATATAATTCAATCGTGCCCACGCAATAACGCTCCTTTTCCGGCATAACTTGACTCGCCTGGTATTAACGCGTGGAGGAGTTAGAAAGAGAAAGAGAAAGAAAGAAAGAAAGAAAGAAAGAAAGAAAGGAAGAAAGAAAGAATAGATGAAGTAGTTCAAGAAACATGTAATATACACGTCAACGAGTTTTTGTTAATCCTTTTAAACGAAATTAATTATGCGTACTTAAATAATATGAAATATTACTTTCAAGTGTATCTATAAAGTTTAATAATTGCATGTATAAAATTGTAAATATAAGTATAACGTAATAATATCTATCAAATTTTAAAATATAAAAATATAAATATATATATATATATAAACATAGATATCTCTATTAAAAAAAAAAAAAGAGAAAAAGGGAAAGAAAAATTATTATATTAAATCAGATAAATACAACGAGAGATCTATAGATCCGTTGATTTCGAATCGCTTTCGAAAGAGATGAAATTTAAAAAAATACGAAAGTAAATACCATCTACGAAGCGTGCAATCACGATGAATATCGGAATCAGAGAAAGGACTTTACTGAGAAATTTTTGGTACGGAGGATGATCCGCAAACCGTGACCGAGGTGAAGGAACACGGTGGATGATCGCGATTCGAGAGAGGAGGAGGAGTAGGATCGCGGCCGTTCGCACGAACATAAAACCGCAACTTGCTTTCCCGCTTTCGTCCTGTTTCTTCTCTTACAATGAGAAATGACAGACAAATGTTGAGTATTTTCTTTGTATCGTTTCTCTCTCTTTCTCTCTCTCTCTCTCTCTCTCTCTCTCTCTCTCTATTTCCCTCTCTATCTCTATCTCTCTTTTTTATTTTTTTCTCCCCTTTTTTCTTTCTACATCGTTCTTTTCATTGTTGTTATTAAAATGATAATACATTATAATTTAGCTTACATAGTTGTGATAAATAAAAAGAAAAACGAAGAAGAAGAAAAAGAAGAAAAAGAAGAAGAAGAAAAAGGAAAAAAAAGGAAACAATTTTGAATTAATATGTTCGCGAGGGAAATCGTGTAAACTCGGTCTTGCACGAGTCGACGAATCCTTCTTCGAGTCGTCATTAACATCGAATGCCTTCTTGGTTCCCGTGTACGGGAGAGAATGCAACAGGTGAGCTCACTTGATTTTACATTGAAAGCTTTCAAGAGGAAAGAAAAAAAGAAAGAAAGAAAAAGGGAAAGAAAGAGAGAGAGAGAGAGAGAGAAATCATTTTCTTTTTTCTTAATAATTACTCATCGCCAATTTTCACGCGTAGTTCATGTTACATGATGTCGTTGAATAGATTAATTAGATGCTTCCTAAGACATAGTAATCTTAAGATCAAACTTTTAAAATCTTCTATATCTTCTTTCATATATATACACGCCCATATATACATATACGTGTATATATATATATATTCATACGTAGGAGTAATTATACGATGACTTTTCCGACTCTTGGAAAACAATAGTCCGAGAAAGGGTCGTCCTACTTATGCCTGCGAATTCACGGATATGTTCAGTTTGAACAATTTGCCTCATAAAGTAAGTAGAGAACACGCAATTTATGTATATACATATACACATACGTATTATACATTCACCTTTGTCCTTTGCAGTATATATATATATATATATATATGTATTCGAGTAAATGATAAATGTTAAAAGAAAAAAAAAAGAAAAAAAAAAAAAAGAAGAGGAAAAAAAAAGAAAATAGAAGGATTATCTTTCGAACTCTCACAGTTTCTCTTAGTTTTGTAATTTTTCTACGGCATACATCGTAACCCATAAATAGATATTTATAATAGTTATATCCTTAATCTTGGAAAAACTAGAAAGTTTCTTTTTATTTCTTTCTTCTTTTTTTTCTTCTTTTTCTTTTTCTTTTTTTCTCTCCCCTCCCTTATAAAAACGATTTTCGATTATAACGATGAAACTCTTTTAACTCGAGAAAATCCTACAATTGCCATTGTCTTATGTTAAATTATCTGCGAACAGAAAAAATAAAAGAAAAAAGAAAAAAAAAAAAAAAGAAAAAAAGAAAGAAAAAGAAAAAACCTCCACGATATTATTATTGCTATTATTTATTTTTTTCTTTCTTCCTTCCTTTCTTTTCTTTTCTTGCAAACAATTGACGTCAGAAAAATCTTCGTAGTCATCGATCGATACGGAACGATAAATCCAATCGTTGAACGAAACGTGTACCAATCTTGTCATCGATCTCATTAGAATAGAATGTATTATTTTATTCTTACATAGATGACCTATTAAATTTATATTTATATGTATACATATATCTACTTAATTACAGATCGAGCTTATTGTTGTTATATATGTATTATATATATATATATATGTCTTTGTTATCGAGTATAGAATGAAATAATCACCTGTCCCGTCTGGTGATTATAACTTTTGAATAAATTGATGACGAGAAAGTAATATTAGGAGTCCGTACGTTCGTCATTGTTTGAACTATATTAGAAAAGATAAGAAAAGAAAAGAAAAAAAAAATAAATTCGTTTTGACATTAGAGAAAAGGAAGGAGGAGGATCTTTATCGATATTCTCATACGCTTCCGTTCACATAAAGTATTAGATTGTTTCGCGACCGGAAATATATATATATATATATACACATTCGGTACCTTGTATTGTTTACTAAATGACCCTTAATGGCCATAATTTTTTCTAATTTCGTTTTGTTCAATATCAACTCCTTTTAAAAAGTGTTCTAATCGAATATCGTATATCCTATTTCTATTATAATGATTTTATATATATATATATATATATATATATATATATATATATATATATTCGAACGATGATCATATTATCTTATATCGTGCTTTATCAGTTTTATATGTGTATATAAAATTGATCCATCTCTTTTAAAAAACTTTTCGTTATTTCAAATGAAATAAACTTTTCTTTTATAAATTATATGGTATAATTAAAACGTCAATATTACCTAAACATCAATATCGTCAAAATTAATGAAAATTATATTGCTCATTTCGATGTTCTATTACATCTAATGAAAATTACAAGTAAATCATTTTATATATATATATATATAGTATATAGTTCGAAGATATAACAAATGTCGCCATCTGTTGATGTAATATATAAACACTAATGCAATGTATCATAATTAACGTTGATCGATATTGAAAATATTTAATTAATATATAATTATACAATATATAATTAATATTAATTTTGTACAAATATAAAATTCGTTTCGTGAAATAATATAAATGATGAATATATTTTCTTGTTATCGGAAATCTTTATTAATCGCATTTTACTGCAAAACTTCTTAACGTGCGCTAAAACATAACCTGTACAAAAAAGGTTTATAATTTTTTAAGATTTATTACATTGTTTATATTATTTTTTTTTGTGTTTATCGATATGTATAATTTTTGAGCACAAAATTATTGTATGTTTGGGTGTACATATATATATATATATATTTTCATTGTTATATTATAACTATACTTTTATCTATACAAGGAGTATGCCAATTGCATACTCATTTCTAGAAAATCACTGCAATTTAGTGAATAATAGAATGAACACTATGTAGAATTATGTTTGTCATGCTGTAATATATTTTAAGCATGACACAAAGTAAAATATAATATTCATCAATTTATATTAAATCAAATCTATCATTATCTTTGTTTATTAATATCATGGAAAAAATAATACTTTATTTTTTTCTTTTTTCATAAATATCGTAAATAAATTGAATTCAATGTATAATTATTTACAAGAATTAGTAACTATATGAATATATAAATCAAATATTACATAATGTATAACGTAACGTATTAGATATTATGCATTGCATGTTTGTTTTAATTATAATATATAATATAAATCAGTATCTAGACAAGTTAGTAAATTGTAATGGAATTTTTTTTTTATTTTAAAATGATAGCCTTATGTTGTTTAATCCTGTTGTGGTACCAAAAAGTAAATATATATATATATTTACAAACAATATTTCATACAGATTAATATATCACAAATATTATGTATCGCAAAGTAAATTATTAATTGATAATGATTAACTGACATTCTATGTTATTGCTCATGCTCTTATTGTGAAAAAAACATATTAATAATAAACTCATAGATATATTTTATCTGAACTTTGATATTTTTATATGAATTAATTTTTATATAATTCCAAATAGTCTTATATCGATGATGACAATGATAATGATACTATTAATGATACATAATGATGACAGTGATAATGATAATAATAATAATAATAATAATAATAATAATAATAATAATAATAAAAATAATAATAATAATAATAATAATAATAATAATAATAAATATCATACAATGTTTTTCTTTTTTCTTTCATAACAAATAGATTTTCTATGTAACATCTTATATTTATAAATCCAAATGTCATAAAGATTATTTAAACCGACAAATATATATTTAATACTCAATTTTGATGACCGCTGAAATATACATAACGTTTTATGACATTTTATATTTTATAATACACAGCCTGATAAAACTTATTACAATATTAATGTTCTATCTTTGAATATTATAATAATGATATTCAAATACTGCACAACTTACATTTTATGATCAATAACATGGTACATTAGAAAAATTTTCACGTTTATCATTCATACGAGAGAAATTCTCTTTATAAAAAATTAAAAATTTCTATTACTTTTTCATGAGTATAGAATAAATAAATAATTATGATAACTACATTTTTGTTTCGTTTTTTTTTTCTCAAGTGCATCAATATGCAAATGATGTGAGCAAGAAGCTCGCGAAGACATGATATAATGTAATAATTTTTAATGAATCATAAATTGGATATATTAAGATTGCGATCATACTGTCTTAATTTGTGTTGTGCATTTTAAATGCATGTATGATTCGTTACAAAAATTCATTAATAGCTATGTTTTACAAATACTGTAATTACGAGCACAAATACTGAATTTATTTATTCAGTAATTCTTGGTCTCCTATTTCTTATTTTAGAAGTTATAAAATTTTCATCTATAAATTGTACTCCTGTATAAACATGATTGTGTATAATATACTATAGTAATATATCAAATCATATATATATATATATATATATATATATATATATATATATATCATTAATTATGGAAGTAAATTACATTGAACATATATACAAAGAAAATACTATGTTTGACATTTTTATATAATAAAAATCAGTTTAGCAATAATACCGTTTCGTATGTTGTATACGAAAAAGAAAACATTTTTCTTTTTTTTATATCTATATAACGACAGAATTCTAGTCGTTATTGACTTCGCTTGAAAAGATGATATGCATACTATTTTAGTCCTTAGAAAAATAATCTAAAACATAATGAAAACTTATTATTATTAATAGCATTATATTTAACTATTGTATGTTGATTATGAAACTAAATTTGAAATGCAGCTTATAAGAATTCATATATGAAACAAAATTCTTATTTGTTTTATAATCGTAAAAAAGGCTTGTACATGAATATATAGCTAGTAATACATAGCTATTCTTTTTTTTTTTTTTTTAATTAATAATTAACTTTATCTATGTTGTATTAAATCATTTTCTGTAACGTTTGAAATATTATAAAAGTTGTATGGCAAATTAGGGGGTAAAAAGTTTTGTAATGCTGCTGGCATAGCATTGAAATATGTTGTTGCATTTCTTTCTCGAAATACAGTATCTTGCACCGTCCCGGATACATCTGCTTGGAAGGTTTGTATTGCTGTTGTTGGTATAGCTTGTACGACTATTGGTTGAGGTGCTGTTACATGTGGTACAGCTTGTATTACCTAAATAAATAATATATAAAAATAATTTAAGAAAATATTCTTTTAATAATTACATGTAAATAATATTTAATTAAAATTATTTAATACCTGTACTGTTGTAGATTCTGTTTGTGATATGGAAAGTGGATCTTCTGCGGTATTAGCTTGAATCGAATGTTGTTGCTGCTGTTGTTGTTGTTCTTGCTGTTGTGATTGTTGTTGTTGTGATTGTTGTGATTGTGACAAATGTTTCGTATGAGACGTATTAATTCCATGTCTACGTTTCATATGTTTATTATAATTTGGCCAATTTGTAAAATGATGTTGACATTCTAAACAACTATATGGTCGTTCACCAGTATGTTGTCGTCTATGTGTCTAACATATAATATAAAATATAATATTATAGTATATTCAATATATAGATATTTTATATATTTTTATATCAAGGATATATTTCTTACCGTTAAAATTCCTTTAAAACGAAAACATTTTCCACAAAATTCACAAGTAAAAGGCATTGCACCTGTATGTATCCTATGATGTTCTCTTAAAGTACCCTTTTCTCTAAATGTTCTACCACAAACAGCACATTGATGTGGTTTAGCACCAGTATGAACTGTTTCATGTTTCTTCAATTGTAACGGTGTTTTAAATCTATAATATAATTTATATTAATTATTTTATAGATGTACATATATATATATATATTTTTTTTTTATTGTATAAATAAACATACGCTTTTGGACATTGAGAACAACTATATGGCTTGTCTGCAGAATGAGTTAAAAAGTGAGCTTCTAAATTTCCTTTTTGTATGAAACTTTTTCCACATTGATCGCAAGTAAAATTCCTAACACCAGAATGAATACGTTTGTGGGTAACCAAATTAGGCTTAGTAGAAAATCTATATAATAAAGAAGATCTATATAATATTTATTAATAAATAATTTTTATAATTAATTATTATAAATTACCTTTTATCACATTGATCGCAAGGAAAACGATTTTTCATTGTATCCGGTAAATGACATCTACTATGAATGTATAAAGCGCTTTGTTGTCTAAATGCTTTACCACATGTTTGACAAACATATGGACGTTCTTCACTATGTACTGCCTTATGCGAATCTAATACTCTTTTATGTACAAATGATTTTCCACAATCCTCACAACTATGCATAAAAAAAAAAGAAATAAATATAAAGTTAACATATTGAATGTATAATTATATATATAATTTAAAGAATATAATAGATAAAAAGTCTTACTTATATTTTGCTTTAGTTTTATGCCTTTTGACATGAGTAAGGAAACCATAATATTTGTCATAGACTTTGCAACATTGCACACACATATATTTTGCTTGTTGATTATGTACAGTTTCATGATGTTCTTCCAATGCTTCTAAACTTGGTAATTTATCATTACAATCAGTACATAACCAAGGATATCTATCTAATCCTTCTCCTCTTTTACGTCCAGGTTTTGGTGGTTCTGCTGCACGAGTTTCTATCATTTCCAAATCTGAATCTGTTCCTATATATGCCATAGAATAGATTAAAATACTTTAAATATTTAAATTTAAATATCTATAGAAAATATTATATAAATTGTTACCTGTCATATAATTATCTGGTACTTTTATGTTAGATTTTATACTAATATCATTGTGTTCTTTCTTTAAATCAGAAGTTAAACATAATTCCAAATCATCCATCCTTTGCATTTGACTTTTCTTTTTAACCTTTTTCTTGGCCTGCTTAAGAGAACCTTTTTTCACTTGGATTTTACATTTCTCTTCCTTTACCGTCTCATATTTTTGTTGATTACAATCATTTTCATTTTCATTACTAAAATATGTATTAGTAATATTTACAGCAGAATTATGAATGTAGTTATCTGATAATTGACATTCATCGATTTGAATCTCTTCCTCTTTTGGAAATTCAACTGTTTCCTTAATAAAATCTATATTTGGTTCTAATGTTGACGGTTCAGACTTGGGCTCTATTAGTAATTGTCTCAAAGATGCTTGAGCTTGATTGGTCTTCTCAAAAAATTCACTGCATTGATTTAATAAAACGCAACAGTCTATACAAACTGACAACGGCAAACCGTCTGTTATTAATACCTACAATAACAAAAAGAACGAATGCTTTAATGGAAAAATATTATTTGTTTAAGTAAATATCAAATCAAAATAGATCATTTAAAGGATACAATATATTCTTTAACCTCAATTAATATTCTAGCGAAGGAAAATGATAAAAAAAAAGAAAAAGAATATAAATAACGAAGACGTTAAATCACTTTAAAGGTGCAAAGCAACGAAAATTAGATATTTGTATATATAAATGTAATATATATATATATATACATTATTCGTAACACTTCAATTGCAAACGTACACGAGTGATATAATTTTTAATTACGTTTATAAAAAATGGAGATAAGAAATGAGAAATATGACGATGAATTTAAATTACCTGAATTTGTAAACATTTAGCGATCTTAGCTTCTATTGCTAATTTCTGTCCTTCGGCGTCATAAATACCGATGAAGTTCTCTTTGGTCTCGGCACAGAGCCGGCAAAGTTCCGGCTCCGTCATCATTCATGCGAGAAATCCGAGAACGTTTATGCGGTGGCAGTGCATTGTCAAAAAGAAATGGAACAACAAAAACGATTTTATCGTGACACAATTAGGAGCTTCAGAGACGTCGTAAACAAAAGATCGGCATAGACGCTAACCCCGACAGCGGACATGTTCTCTTCTTCACGACAAAAATATTACACGTCTCTCTCTCACTCTCTTTCTCTTTCACTCTCACTCTCTCACACACTCTCTCTCTCTCTTTCTCACACTCTCTCTTTCTCGTTCGACTTATACCGCCATTAAATACGATCGACGTTTCGTCTTATAATAATCGATCTTTCGATTTTCATAATTCGATTTTGTACTCGCCACTTCTCTTTATACTGTACCATGTTCAGAGAACGATGAGAGACGTATTTTGATTAATTTGTTGTTTATAAAAACTATAGCACGTCGATCGTATTCCCATGATCGTAAACTAATCATGACATCTATGGAGAATATTTTCAAACAATTATTCCACAAATTATTAACAAGAATAATTATTTCTAGATTTCTATTATATCGATCGTTCATAATATCACGTAGTAAAACAAATGAAAAATATATAGCTAATAAAGGCTGTTCATAACCTCTCCTTTTATAATGATTTATATCAATAATGAGAAAAGACGTTTAAAAATGAATTTCATATACCATGGTAAACTTACTCTTTGGATAGATAATACTATGGGAAAAGTGAGTAAAATTGTGTACAATGTTATAAAAAACGTAAAACGCTAGAAATTTAAAATAATTTTAATATAAAATACGATTAATTTAAAATTTTAATTTCGCGATAGTTGATCTCGCATAATATAAACATAAACGTGCTCTTTCTTAACTTTAACAATGACCGAGTTAGTTTTCTTTTGCACTCCGACGCGTACACATCGAAACTCTCTCTTTCCAAACGCGAAAACTTATAAATTAATATTTTCGATAACTTTTCAATTATTTAAACAATTTTTAATGTACACATGACAGAATAAAGTAATATTTAAACAGTTCTACACTTATTTAAACATTAAAAAGACAGAAACGCGTGAAAAATTTAAAATAAATTTAATATAATATTCGATCACATTAAAATTTTAATTACGCGATAGTTAGCTTCGTAAATACAAACATAAACGCGCTCTTTTTTAACTTTGACAAATTACCGAGTTAGTTTACTTTTACCCTCCGACGCGAAAACATCGAAACTCTTTTTTTCGAACGGAAGTACTTATAAATTATTATTTTCGATAATCTTTCAATTATTTAAACAGTCTTTAGTGTACGCGAGATAGATAAAAGTAATATTTAAACAATAGTACATTTAATTAAACATTAACAGATGAAAACGCGCGCGGGACTTAAAATAAAATTCGATTGCTTTTAAATTCTAATCTTGCGATAGTTGGCCTTGTGTAATATAAACATAAACGCGCTATTTCTTAACTTTGACAATTACCGAGTTAGTTTACTTTTACCCTCCGACGCGAACACATCGAAATTCTTTCTTTTCGAACGGAAGTAGTTATAAATTATTATTTTCGATAAACTTTCAATTATTTAAACAGTCTTTAGTGTACGCGGGATAGATTAAAGTAATATTTAAACAGTTGTGCATTTATTTAAACATTAAAAGACGGAAACGCGAGCGGGACTTAAAATAAAATTCGATTACTTTCAAATTTTAATCTCGCGATAGTTGGCCTTGTGTAATATAAACATAAACGGGCTATTTCTTAACTTTGACAATTACCGAGTTAGTTTACTTTTAACCTCCGACGCGAACACATCGAAATTCTTTCTTTTCGAACGGAAGTACTTATAAATTATTATTTTCGATAATCTTTCAATTATTTAAACAGTCTTTAGTGTACGCGAGATAGATAAAAGTAATATTTAAACAATAGTACATTTAATTAAACATTAACAGATGAAAACGCGCGCGGGACTTAAAATAAAATTCGATTGCTTTTAAATTCTAATCTTGCGATAGTTGGCCTTGTGTAATATAAACATAAACGCGCTATTTCTTAACTTTGACAATTACCGAGTTAGTTTACTTTTACCCTCCGACGCGAACACATCGAAATTCTTTCTTTTCGAACGGAAGTAGTTATAAATTATTATTTTCCATAAACTTTCAATTATTTAAACAGTCTTTAGTGTACGCGGGATAGATTAAAGTAATATTTAAACAGTTGTGCATTTATTTAAACATTAAAAGACGGAAACGCGAACGGGACTTAAAATAAAATTCGATTACTTTCAAATTTTAATCTCGCGATAGTTGGCCTTGTGTAATATAAACATAAACGCGCTATTTCTTAACTTTGACAATTACCGAGTTAGTTTACTTTTACCCTCCGACGCGAACACATCGAAATTCTTTCTTTTCGAACGGAAGTAGTTATAAATTATTATTTTCGATAAACTTTCAATTATTTAAACAGTCTTTAGTGTACGCGGGATAGATTAAAGTAATATTTAAACAGTTGTGCATTTATTTAAACATTAAAAGACGGAAACGCGAACGGGACTTAAAATAAAATTCGATTACTTTCAAATTTTAATCTCGCGATAGTTGGCCTTGTGTAATATAAACATAAACGCGCTATTTCTTAACTTTGACAATTACCGAGTTAGTTTACTTTTACCCTCCGACGCGAACACATCGAAATTCTTTCTTTTCGAACGGAAGTAGTTATAAATTATTAAATTCGATAAACTTTCAATTATTTAAACAGTCTTTAGTGTACGCGGGATAGATTAAAGTAATATTTAAACAATAGTTGATTTATTTAAACATTAAAAGACGGAAACGCGAACGGGACTTAAAATAAAATTCGATTACTTTCAAATTTTAATCTCGCGATAGTTGGCCTTGTGTAATATAAACATAAACGCGCTATTTCTTAACTTTGACAATTACCGAGTTAGTTTACTTTTAACCTCCGACGCGAACACATCGAAATTCTTTCTTTTCGAACGGAAGTAGTTATAAATTATTATTTTCGATAAACTTTCAATTATTCAAACAGTCTTTAGTGTACGCGGGATAGATTAAAGTAATATTTAAACAGTTGTGTATTTATTTAAACATTAAAAGACGGAAACGCGAACGGGACTTAAAATAAAATTCGATTACTTTCAAATTTTAATCTCGCGATAGTTGGCCTTGTGTAATATAAACATAAACGCGCTATTTCTTAACTTTGACAATTACCGAGTTAGTTTACTTTTACCCTCCGACGCGAACACATCGAAATTCTTTCTTTTCGAACGGAAGTAGTTATAAATTATTATTTTCGATAAACTTTCAATTATTTAAACAGTCTTTAGTGTACGCGGGATAGATTAAAGTAATATTTAAACAGTTGTGCATTTATTTAAACATTAAAAGACGGAAACGCGAACGGGACTTAAAATAAAATTCGATTACTTTCAAATTTTAATCTTGCGATAGTTGGCCTTGTGTAATATAAACATAAACGCGCTATTTCTTAACTTTGACAATTACCGAGTTAGTTTACTTTTACCCTCCGACGCGAAAACATCGAAACTCTTTCTTTTCGAACGGAAGTACTTATAAATTATTATTTTCGATAATCTTTCAATTATTTAAACAGTCTTTAGTGTACGCGAGATAGATTAAACTAATATTTAAACAATAGTTGATTTATTTAAACATTAAAAGACGGAAACGCGAACGGGACTTAAAATAAAATTCGATTAATTTAAATTCTAATCTCGCGATAGTTGGCCTCGTGTAATATAAACATAATCGCGCTCTTTCTTAACTTTGACAATTACCGAGTTAGTTTACTTTTACCCTCCGACGCGAACACATCGGAACTCTTTCTTTTCGAACGGAAGTAGTTATAAATTATTATTTTCGATAAACTTTCAATTATTTAAACAGTCTTTAGTGTACGCGGGATAGATTAAAGTAATATTTAAACAATAGTACATTTATTTAAACATTAAAAGACGGAAACGCGAACGGGACTTAAAATAAAATTCGATTACTTTCAAATTTTAATCTCGCGATAGTTGGCCTTGTGTAATAAAAACATAAACGCGCTCTTTCTTAACTTTGACAATTACCGAGTTAGTATACTTTTACCCTCCGACGCGAAAACATCGAAACTCTTTCTTTTCGAACGGAAGTACTTATAAATTATTATTTTCGATAGTCTTTCAATTATTTAAACAGTCTTTAGTGTACGCGGGATAGATTAAAGTAATATTTAAACAGTTGTGCATTTATTTAAACATTAAAAGACGGAAACGCGAGCGGGACTTAAAATAAAATTCGATTACTTTCAAATTTTAATCTCGCGATAGTTGGCCTTGTGTAATATAAACATAAACGAGCTATTTCTTAACTTTGACAATTACCGAGTTAGTTTACTTTTACCCTCCGACGCGAACACATCGAAATTCTTTCTTTTCGAACGGAAGTAGTTATAAATTATTAATTTCGATAAACTTTCAATTATTTAAACAGTCTTTAGTGTACGCGGGATAGATTAAAGTAATATTTAAACAATAGTTGATTTATTTAAACATTAAAAGACGGAAACGCGAACGGGACTTAAAATAAAATTCGATTACTTTCAAATTTTAATCTCGCGATAGTTGGCCTTGTGTAATATAAACATAAACGCGCTATTTCTTAACTTTGACAATTACCGAGTTAGTTTACTTTTACCCTCCAACGCGAACACATCGAAATTCTTTCTTTTCGAACGGAAGTAGTTATAAATTATTATTTTCGATAAACTTTCAATTATTTAAACAGTCTTTAGTGTACGCGGGATAGATTAAAGTAATATTTAAACAATAGTTGATTTATTTAAACATTAAAAGACGGAAACGCGAACGGGACTTAAAATAAAATTCGATTACTTTCAAATTTTAATCTCGCGATAGTTGGCCTTGTGTAATATAAACATAAACGCGCTATTTCTTAACTTTGACAATTACCGAGTTAGTTTACTTTTAACCTCCGACGCGAACACATCGAAATTCTTTCTTTTCGAACGGAAGTAGTTATAAATTATTAATTTCGATAAACTTTCAATTATTTAAACAGTCTTTAGTGTACGCGGGATAGATTAAAGTAATATTTAAACAATAGTTGATTTATTTAAACATTAAAAGACGGAAACGCGAACGGGACTTAAAATAAAATTCGATTACTTTCAAATTTTAATCTCGCGATAGTTGGCCTTGTGTAATATAAACATAAACGCGCTATTTCTTAACTTTGACAATTACCGAGTTAGTTTACTTTTACCCTCCAACGCGAACACATCGAAATTCTTTCTTTTCGAACGGAAGTAGTTATAAATTATTATTTTCGATAAACTTTCAATTATTTAAACAGTCTTTAGTGTACGCGGGATAGATTAAAGTAATATTTAAACAATAGTTGATTTATTTAAA